TATTGAGAATTTTAAAACAATACAGGAAAATTTTGATCAGTTGGTAAGTAACACATGTATATACCAAATAACCTTTAATTATAGTAAGTTCAATGAACTCCATTTGAGTTATCAGTAGGCTTAGCTTCAATTAAGACAGTTTTATTTTTCTTAAGTTGATTGGCTAATTAACTGAGTTGCTATTAACAAGAGCTTAAGAGGAGAATTGATGCCTTCCTGACAAATGAAGGGTGGATTGAAATTTTAACTTTTCTCAAGATGTGCAGAGAGAATCTTGGAGGACTAAATGGTTCTTTGTTGTTACATCATATATAGAGGTAGATTATAGTGTAATTATAGTTAGTCTTCATTAATTTGGTATATCTTGTGTTATTTTTTTTAAGATTGATTAAGTACTTAAATTACTGTATCTCGAAAAATAACATCTTTTTGTAGCTATTATTGTGATAGGTATTTCATGTGTTGCTGATCCTATGAATGTCACTTACTTTTTTCTGACCACAATACATGTATGTCACTCTTATTGTAACTGTTGTATATAATGTAGATTACTATAATGTGAAAACAATCATTATGACCCGGTTTGGCATTAATGGATACCCAAGAATTGGATGAAACAAGTTAGCCTTTCTGGGCAAGTACTTCTGAATCCTTGTATGTCAAAACAATCAAGTGAACTACAAAACTGGTGTAGTTTTGCTTGTTCATTGTTTGCAGATGTGGTAATTTAAGGACAAACCAACCACAAAGTTACCTGATGTCTGCAACAACTAGAGATTTGTGGACCATATTTTATAAAACAGGTTTAGTAATTTGTTGTTGGTGGAAAGAAACAACACTTGGTGAAGATGTAGCTCAATTTACTGTATTGAATGATATAACACACTAACAACTTGTGAGCATACTTTGTGAATTTTTTTTCATTAGCTTACCTAATCTTGCTTTATTTAACCTCATAATTTTTACATTTTAGTTACTTTTATATTAATAAATAAAGGATAGACATGAAAAACATGAAATATATCACCTGTTACCTCATCTTTTGTGCTGTCAGTTGCCAATGAAATTTAAGGATACTTTTTTTTTATACTAATGGTACTTGTACACTAAAGTTTTATTTAACCCTCTTGCTACAAGCATCTTCTGTGCATGTCACCAGCTTTTAGTGAGTTACGTTGAAAATTTAATTAAACTATTTTATCTTTGTATATGAATAAATGTGGAATAAAAATGCAACTAATAAATCAAATTTTAATAGTATATAAGTTTTAAGTTCTTAATTTTATAAGGCATTATTAAAAATGGAAAATCCAAAATTTTCCATCATATGAAAATTGTGACAAATTTTTCTCTAGGCATACCCTCTTCTATAATTTATTTACCACCACTCAAAGAAGTATGAAATTTCACATAAATTACTTATTATAATGTCATCGTTGTTCAAACAAAGCATAATTTTCATAGCCTTCATTTTTATTTGGTTATGGGGCTATAAACCAGAAAATCAGACCCACTTGCTATGTTTATCTATCACATCCTCTCTTTCAGAAATTGCTAAGAGTTCTCTCTCTGACATTTAATACCATATTATTTATAATCAATAGAAAGCAAAGAGCTTAATCTATCAAATGATATATTGCATTGTTTTTTGTATAAAGAATTCTCAGTTTTGCATTCAGTTCAAAATTTATTCCCATATGACACACATTGACAAGTTTAGCTGAATTTTTAATAGCTCTTGTTGCATAGTTAGAAAGCCAGTAATACTGTGATAGTTATGGGATATTGTGCATGTGATTATTCTGTGATCTTTGGTGCATTATTTAATGCAATACCACCATTAATATAAAAGAAAAGTAGGGTTAAGTGTCATCAACAGTCAAAGGCATAAAAAAAATGGAAGACCAAGAGAAGTACTTTATTTCTTGTTTTCATGTATATTCTTTATTTTTTAATGTAAAAGTAACTAAAATGTAAAAATTAGAAACTTTTTAGGTTAGATAAAATAAGGAATAATAATGTTTCATGAGGTACACTTGTAAGATGCTGGCATATAGTCCTTGCATTATGTAATTCGATTTCATGATCTTAGCTGCACATTTGCCGTGTGATTTACAACTTGCATGGCATGAATATTAGTTAGACACAGCTCAAACTTCAAAGGGCAATAAAACAAAATTTAAGTAGGAATGGATGTTTACTGTTCCAATATGGTCTTACCTCCTTTCATACAAAGCTATCTTCTGCCCTCAAAGCATTGCTAAAAAATTTTCACAATCAGTGCACCAGTGTATATACCCATCAATTTTGTGCCATTTCTGAATGTACATATCATGTGATTACTTTCCATCGATAGTATTGTGCCACCTATATTGTTGCAGCTAGCTCCCTCTACTATTTCTGCTCAATCCTCACTTTCTCAGTTGGCACAGCATTGTTTAGACGTGCACTTTTTTCTCATTTGGCTACCATTTATGATAGTGCTTCTTTGTCATTTAAATTTTTTTTCCCAATTGTTTTATTTTACTGTGTTTTCATTTATTTCTTCTTAATGAATTACAAAAGATCTTATGAATTTGTGATCAGTGTATTGACTATGGTAATTCTCGATATGGTCGGCAAAGCTGCTGATTAGACTTCCCAGGAATCAGGTTCAACTTTATCTGCTGAGGAGGTAAAGACTTTAATTCACAGGGAGCTAGATTCATATGTTTAGCCAATGATTTCTTCTTTTCAACATGACCATATTTCTGAGGAA